GGATATGGACCCCAAATCATACTGGAATGGCAATTGCAGCGTTCTAATTTTGACATCAATTAAGCTCTTGCTGCACTGACTCACTTTCTCAAGTAAACAGAGTGAGCCTCAGATTCATAATTGCCAAGCTCCCAAAACTAGTAAGCTTCTAAATTTAAAGACTAGGCGACACGATCAGCTTATAGGCCACCACCTACCTAACTGGCAAAAGTCACAGAATTCAAAATATCGGGGTAGAAGTCTGCATCCAAAATAATGACTGAAGAGGATTTTTGGGGGAAAAACTGAGCAAGATCGGATCCCGTTTACTGTGCTTCACGAGTGAGCGAAAAGGGTATCCAGAGAGTTCCCATAAATCCGATGGAGCCGAATCAACGATAAACGCATAAGTTTCATGGCTTAGCCATTTCAAAATGAGTTTCGATCCCAAGATGTACTCAAGTCTGATAAAGTACGCAAACTTAAGTGTGTATTCATTAGAATAGCAAATTCCTCAACATGGAAGATGCAATTTTGAATTGATTAATGAAGACTTACCGTTTGGCGCTCCTCCATCAAATCAAAGATTTTCTTATCAAGCTCAATCTTCTGTGCATTCAACTACAAGTCGAAAATAAGAACCCCAGCTCTCGGGTACAAACCTGACCCAGATTTCCCTTTGCAGAAGAAAGATCTGTCTCTAGGCTAACGAGATCATCCTTGCTGCGCTGCTTAGCTTCCTCAAGACGAGTGAAGTCATACGCCACAATGAGCTTAGAGAGATGTTCAATTTCACGGACAACCTTCTGATATTCTAGATAGCTACTGCGCTCTTCACGCAATTTTCTAATTGTCGGCGTGATGTCTTCATATAAAACCTAGAGCTATTGGCAGCCGATTGTGCGTTACTCTATCAATTTCTCGAAGTTTGCTATCCTTCTTTTCAATAGTCTTAAGGGCAGCTTCCTTCTTATTCTCATACAATTTTGTACTCGCAGCTTCTTCTAAAAGAGACAAAATCTATGGACGCGATAATAGACGAAAGACAAGTACTTCCGGGGGTTTCATGTTTAAAACTTTTGTGATGCGCCCCTGCATAATGAGGAAATGAGGATTGTTAACGTTTAGCTGTACAGAATGAAACAGATCCTGTACTCGGGTGCTTGTAGCATTTGTTCCGTTAATCAGATACTTATTCTTTCCACCAACAACCACCTGACGAGTTATCGTCAGCTCATCAAATTGTTCATAGCCGTAAGGTGAGACTGATTTGTCGGTGTTATCAAAAACAATGCTGACAGTTGCTTTGGTAATGCCAGCCTGACCACCTTTATAAACAAGTTCTTGCAGACTAGAGGCACGAATCTAGTGAAAGCCTTGAAAGAATAACCTCAAGTGCATACATGAAACAAATTCGTTATACCAAACAGAAAGCAAATCGCATCCAAAATATTGGATTTTCCAGATCCATTGAGACCAGTTATGGCATTAAATTGAATATCGAACCCAGGTATCTCAGTGCGCTGACAGTAGGATTTGAATCCATCAATCACCATGGATTTAATGTACATTACCGCACGCAATGGAGCAATACGAAACTTTAACCAGTGCACAATTACCATCCATCGATAAAAACACCGTTATTAAAAGTCATTTAACTGATTTAAATTCATTATTTATTATAAATTAATGTTGTAGAATATGTGAATTTTTAATCATGTGCTTTTGTTTGTACACGTCTTTAGCTGTGGCCCTTACAACGGTGTTAGCCGTTTTCACTGGCTGTTAGGAAATGGGCAACTGTTGCACTTATATCCCCTACCGACCTAAGTTTTTACATTATTTTTCCCGTCGCAATGGCACACACTTTATGGGAGGTGATGTGGATACCCTAATGGACTTGGTACTTATTTAGGTTTGTCTATGTCATATCTCTTTCTAGGATTATCTTGAAGAGCCTCAACTTACTTTTAGAATTAATGAAAATCTGTTTACGGTTCCTTCCTATCTTAATTGGGTAAGCCGGCACGAGTTTTTTTGTCTTTTCAGTCTTGCGTCTTTGGTATGCAGTGGAACTTTGGACTCTCTTCTTCT